TTCCAATACTTTACCTTACACACTAGGTGTGTGCGGAAAAGTAATAACATTCCAAAAGTTTGAAGAGATTTCAATCAAAATTAGGGATACCTCCCATACTACATTTTCAATTTTTGGCTCAAAAACGAATATTTATGGGAGGTACGCTTAATTTTGGTTGAAATTTCTCCAAACCCTCCGAATGTTTTTTTTTTGTGAAAAAAATAACCTGTACAAAGTTTAACGCTATTAGGTAGAATACAGACATGGCTCTCATACAGAAATCCAAATTTTTTGTGACTTTAGTTGTGAAGAGTGTTTCAAAAATAATTTTTTAGGCAAAATTAACGTCAGACATATTTTTTATAGTGTTTTGTTAGAAAATAGAATAATTTCAAATGTCGTATAAATGGGTTCATCATGAAAGTGTGAAAAATCTTTTCTCGGGTACTTCTGCTATTAAATTAAAGAATATTTCGTTGCCAAAGTTGGAACATATTTTTTGGTCTCGAACTTTACGCCGCTTGAATGGCTTGAAAAATCGAACAAATGTTATTTTGAGCTTTCTTAATAAAATACGCAACTACCACCGTGCGGAAAAGTTCGTCTTACTCCCGTAAGACTCTTTATTTATACTATGTTCGTTGTTTAAATTACTAAAAGCATTATTTTCCAAAGATAAAATCTCGTTGCTTTCGTAGCATCTTTGCAATAAATTTTAATTGTGACATTATATATTTGGATCTACAGTACGATATATTTTTCAACACGAGAAGTTTTTTCAATGTGAAATATTCAAATATCTTAATTCTACAAATGATTCATCGAACAACATATATATTTAAATATTTGAATTTGAATTTGACTTTTTTTGTTGAAAAATATATTCGAACTCACGCTCAATAATACGAGCAGAAGCAAAGAACAAGAAATTTTCCAAGATCAAGACTGCAATTAACATGATTTGTTCAAACACATAAACATATCATAAAACTTTCGCACAGAATCTTTATAGAGCACAATATCATCCAAGCACCACATGTAGATTTATCTCCTGGATAATAATTAAATTGAATCAACAACATTACTTCTTACAATTTATTGTCTCTGTTTGTTTTTGGACTTACTCTAAAAAAAGGATTATATGTCGATTCACGTTACGTGTTTTTCAAATGTTTATTATCGGAGATTGTAGCTGACATTTTAGCAAAAGAATGCAACTCAAAATGAAAAACTCCTTTGAAAACAGACTTATTGTTTGTTCAAGTAATATGCGACTGAATAATCAGATTTATTGAGAAGAAAATGTTTTTTATTTACTCCACTTTCCTCACAATACAATGGTTTAAATCATCTACAATTTTCCACAATTACGGTTCTTAATAGTATTCGGTGATTGTTTGAAGAAGTAAATTGGTATGATTTGATTTAACAAAATGATTGTTTTCTTCTCAATAATAATTATTATTCTCAATAATTATTTTAACAGTATCCGTATTTGACGAATTTCAATTGGAATGAGTTATGGAAATTTCGTGCACACTTCAACGTGCATCTATCGGTATATGTAACGCCATCATTTGCACCTATAAAGATTTCATCAATGGTTATTAAATGTATCGCAATGTGGCATGAGTTTATTTTCACATGTTCACTCACAAACAAGACGATTATCATTTTGACAAGTACAACGCGATCCTCTGCATACATTATACTCAGCTACATACAAAGACGGACGTAATGCTCTGGCTTTATTGAACCAACATTGGTTTTGATAGGTCACGTCATCACCTCCTATTTTGTGGCAAATTTGAGTTAATGAAACATGAGATGTAATAGTTCAGTATTTTTTTCTCTCACCACAAACTGGATCATTGTCTGAACTGCAATCTACACCAAATCCATCATGATTATAATCATTATTATAATTATTATCATAATCATTATTAAAATCAAAATTAAATTGTGCTGCACAATTTATAGTCGAAATTACAATCGCAAGGATTCCGAAGAATATTTTGTAGTTCATTTTGAATACACTTATTTATTGAATGAACGATCTATAGCTATATCAAAGAAACTGGAGAAAGGTGGAAACCATTGGGCACATTTATACAAAAAAACTTTTTGCACGTTTATACATTTTTTTTTGCTCATGTCCTTTTTTTATTATAACTCGTGCTCAAATTTTCACGAAAAACGTGCTACATTTTGAATACATTTTTAAGACATAGTATTCCTACGTCAATTTATCACAAAAACATCATAATTCTTTACTTGTTTTTTTAAATTTGTAATTTAAGTATTCACAATAATCGTGCAACGATTTTTTTAAAGCTTTCTTTGAGACGAACAAGTTTTTACATGCAGGGCTTATCAAACCTCAAATTTTCCATTGATTATCGCGTATATTTATTATCAAACAGAACTTTTTCAAAACAAATATACCATAATAATTTTTAGATATTATACGTAAAATAATTTGTAAACAATCCCTTATCTATTTCATTGTAAATCCATACTTTAGTGCGTGCACTAGAGATGCTGCCAAAACGATAAGAAAGACAATAATTTTGTTTTGAAAATTAAACAAAGAACTGTTGAAAAATTTTCCGAAAAACATGTCATAAAAATCTGCTAAAAGTTGGCGAATTCCAGTGGGCCAAAAGATAAAAAAAATTGCGTCAGCAAAATTTGTGTATAAATATGTACCACGATCACTAGTTCTCTTCAGTTCCTTCGACGCATTTGAAGATCAAGTTCTTTCAATAATCGTATTCAAAATGAATTACTTCGCAGTCATTTTCGCAGCTATCGCAATCGTTCTGGCGACTGTAAACTGTACACCGTATGGATATGGTTATCCCCAAAGTAATCCAAATGAATATCATCCAGTTTGTGGTAGGTTTTGAAAATAGCGCGTGTAATTGATCATCAGAATGTTCCATTTGAACATAATTCATTAATTTTCTACAAAATAGGAAATGATGGCGTTACATATCAAAATGATTTTTGGTTCAGGAAAGCAGCCAATTACCGACAAGGCTTAGGAATGAAACATGACGGCGAATGTGATCGAAGTGACGTCCCTTTTTGCGATTGTAGTGGAGGAGAAGGTTTGAATCTCAAAAAGGAAAACAACATTTTTGACATATATTAATGAAATCATTTGTTTTATCTCAATTCAAGTGGTTTGTGGATCTGATGGTGTCACATATACCAATTATTGTACAGTATATAAATGCGCACAAAACTATGGCAGCCACTTGGTTGTAGAACACGAAGGAAACTGTAACGGTTATTGAGCGCTGGTTTATCAACCACTTTTTAAAACGATCTTGGTGAAAGGCGGTCACAATTATTCAATTGGGTCACATAATGGGATAATGGAAGTTTTACCATAAGAAATTTATATTTGTATTGATCGTTTTTAATTTGATGTCAAACATTGATTATTATTTCAATAAACAATGGTTTCATTTGAATCTTATGTACATTACTGAAAATTTACGAGCCCGTGACAGTTTTTTTTTTCAAGTTAGTTGTGAGTCATAATTGTGAAATTTACTTCATGGTAAAATGTTTACTGCCACAATATGTATGAGTTGAAAATTGCACCTGAAATACTAACGACACATGAAACATTGTTCTAGTCAAATGAGGCAAATAAAACTTAAAGTAAATACTGCGATTGTATTTAAGACTGTATTTTCATACAGTTCGAGTTATGTAACTCCGAGATTTATCGAGCTTTGTATATTCCATCAACTATTTCTCGTAGCAAGACGATCCTTTCCAAATCCTAATCTTCGCTCCTAAGTCTTTATCAAAAAAAGTCTCTATCAAAATTGAAATACCGTCTCGGTCGTCAATATACCGTTTTGTTCATCTATATACAAACGCCTAGCCTTTAAAACGCCTAAATTTATACAAAATACTTAAAGCCATTTTTTATAATTCAAAAAAAACTATAATTATCCAAATGGGCTCAAACAAGCGTATATTAATTGAAGTAAAATTAATATAACGGGCAATGAACTTGATAGGCTCTCCAACAAGTGTCGAAATTTTGTCACCAAATATGGTAAGTTAAATTTTTTGATAATTGAATAAAGAATTAACTCGCCCACATAGAACATTCACACACTTTAAATACTCTTTTTTCGCTTTGATTCTAACACATTGGAAAAACATAAAAGAAGAGCGCGCGAAGCAAAATAGTAAATTCAAAAATCTATTATTCTCTGCAATCTGACGAATGATTCAACAATATCAACGTTTAATATTCATTTTGATTTGTTACTAAACTGCGTAGAAATCGCTTTTAATTTTTTGTCTTTTTTTCAATTGTTACAAAGTGCGCGAGATTTAAATGATTCGTTTAGAAAATCCCACCTAATTTATTAGATCAGAATTAGAAACGCTGTGCAGTGTACACACAGTCCCTTCCGCATTCAAGTAGATGGAGAAAAAAGCCGCCACATCGAATTACTTCATTACCGTCGATTATGGTAATGTGTTTGATGTTGTTAAACACCACATTCCATTAGAAATGTTTACAATTACGTTTGGTATGCAAGTGACTTCTCGTCGTATATTACATACAATGTTTGTTTGTGCATGTCATAATCCATGAGTCGAGAATTTCTGTGTTTCACTGAGCGCAATGCAATTGCGATCGTTTATTGAAGTGAACAAAAAAAACACTTTCGATTGCGAACAGCTGTAGGAAAACTCGTCCGCGTTGATGCATTAACTTTATATGGAGAAAAAAAAACAGTACAGTAACAGACAGTGATTGGTATTTCATTGGAAATAATGTTGAAATGGATCGAATAATTTGATTCATAATTCATAACAATCGTATGTGACTTGAGGCATTCATTCAGTCAAATGAAACTATTTTTGAAAAGAAACAAATCTGTTTGTTTTGACAAAATCTGACCTTTTAAAGGCACTTTTGATCACGACGATAGCTTTTCTGTTTCATAGAGCCGTGAAACGGTGAACCGAACACGTTTTTCGAATTTAGACTCAAACCTCACATGAGTAAAATAAAAAGTTTCGAATGAAACTTGTTTGCATACACTTTCATTTTGTATATAAAACTATTTTTGATACTTTATTCAGTTGCGATTGGAAAAATTCACTCTTGGATCACTGATAAAAGTATAGCTGATGCTTGTATGTAAACACATCGCGTAATGAATGACGTTGTTGTTGCTGGTTTTTTTTCCTTTTCTCAAAAATAGAAGGAAACATGTATTGGGTGGAATACGGTGTGTGTGTGATGTTCCGAATCTTCGGTCCGAGTATAAATAGGTTTTCTATTGGAATTGCAAGCGACTTGTTTCCTTAGACAAAAAAAAAGAATAACAACGATGCGAGATACGCGTTTCTCCCAATATAGACAGAACATTGATTTATAGTGTGAAATGAGTCATGCGATCCAAGCATGAAAAACCTACACATAAAACTATCCTGATAAAAATGGAATGAGGTGCATCGCAAATTCATATCAGCGCGAAAGTTCATTGCCACGTACTCCATTCATTTTATTTATGTCAAGTGGGATGATTGCCTTATTTTGCAACTTACTTTGTACGAAATCCGGCTGTTCCATACTCTATGTTTGTGGTGACCTTTTTCGGATACATTTCCCGTGCAAATGCATAAATTGTTCGCAAATTAACTGACGAAGACATTTTTGGAATCTTTTACTTTGGACTAAATCAAATTTACAAAATATTTTCTCTTTGCTCGACTGCAACACCCACGAAAGTAAATCGAAGATCCAAACACGAAAATACGCACACACAATTCCTTCGTCACAGGCACAAAACAAATAAATTATTATTTCTTTTCGGCTAAACACAAAACAAATTCCATTCGGTTTTAATTCTTATTTATATAAATATTTTTGCATTTATTCGATTGGGCAACTAGCGAAACACGTTACCACGACCGATGTCGACAACTAACTAAACCATCCAATTGCGGATCGATTCACTTTTTTAATGCGGTTTCAAAACGCGATCGAACTCAATCATAAATTTAGTCACCTTTTTCTACTAGACTCTCATTGAGAGCGAGAGAGCAAAAGACACTTTGACTGTGTGTATTTGTTGTTTGACATATGATTATATTATGCAGTGTGTGAAAGTGTTTTTTTTTTTTCATAGTTGTCAGCTCATTATACACGGCACCTCTCACATAGTTTTAACTACACTCTGAGAGTTTGACAGTTCACATTCAGTAGTGTGATGTATGTGTGCATGCATTGGTTAGTGGTGCGTTTACAGTACTAATGTGAATAGGGAGGGGAAAACGATGAATCAAATTCGAATGAACGGCTGTAGAAATTATTCTAACTATTTTTTAACGGTTCTTAATGAATGAGCATTTATTCGATTTATTTTGGCATGTAAGAGCAAAATTCCAAACGGTTTTTTTCCTATGAACATTTTTATTCAATATTTTTATTAATCGGTTGAAACAAAATTACAAACGACACATTTACAATGGCATATTTTTTGTTTGACATTTTTATTGAAATTTTTTTATTCATCATTTTTTGGAAATTATTTCTATTGGATTAACACACATAGCTGGGCAGACTGAAAATTTCAGGGGTGGGAAGGGAAAATTTCTTCTAATTTGTAAAGGGGTAAATTCAAACTTTTCAAAAATTATGAGGTGGTAAATATAGCTTTCAGTGTAATAATAAAGAGTTTTTCATTCCATCTGGATCAAAATTTATGAATTATGACCGAGGGAAGAATTGTCCTTGACACTTATCAAATGCTGTATATACCGTATTGCTTCATATGAATGTCGCGCTGCACCCTGAACGGTGACTCTTGCGTTTCCATCACGATCAGTTTCTTTGTTTGTCATTTTTGGTATACCACAAATGAAAATGTGAAACAATGAACAAATTTATTAGAAAATTAAAATGTATTAATTGTGTTATCATATGTAACTCACCAATATTCAATCTGACGCCATAATTCGATTGAATTTTATTGATTTTTGAACCAGCAAAGGGTAAACGTGTGTCAAAAATGGGAAATTGGCTGACAAAAATGGTGAAATGACCCCCCAAAAATGGGGAATTGACCCCCCAAAAATAGGGAATTGGCTGTCAAAAATGGTGCGTTTGGTTGTCAAAAATGGGGCATTTGATTGTCAAAAATGGGTAATTGGCTGCCAAAAATGTAGCTTTTGGCTGTCTAAAGTGGGAAAATGTGGCTGTCAAAAGTGGGGAAATTGCCCCCCAAAAATGGGGATTTGGCTGCCAAAAACGGGGAACTGGCTGTCAGAAATTAGGAATTTGCTGTCAAATATGGGGAACTGGCTGTCAAAAATTAGAAAATGGCCGTCAAAAATGAGGATATGGCTGCCAAAAATGAGGAATTGGGTGTCAAAAATGGGGAATTGGCTGTTAAAAATGGGAAATTGGCCGTCGAGCAGATAGAACAAAGAATAATTGAATTTCATTGATAGCCCTAGCGGGGGAACAATATGAAACAACGAAATGAAGAAAAGACAAAGAACCATAAGAAAGATAATGTAATTAAAGTATCAAATTGCATCGGATAATATTACTTTTTCTTACTTTCAAAATTTTTTTAAACATTTTTTTCGTTTTTTTTATCGTCGCATTTTTGGGGGGCAATTTCCCCATTTTTGACAGCCAAATTTTCCTATTTTTGACAACCAAAAGCTACATTTTTTACAGCCAATTCCCCATTTGTCACAACCAAACGCACCATTTTTGACAGCCAATTCCCTATTTTTGGGGGGTCAATTCCCCATTTTTGTCAGCCAATTTCCCATTCTTATACACCAAAACCATTTTACCTTTTGAACCGTCACGGTCAATTAACGTGCCGACACTTGATTTGTCCACAGTACACTGTTCTTTTGTAATCTGTGGCAGAGTTGGTTCCAATTTCACATCACCCATTGTAACATTCAATCGATCACAGACTTTCTATTAAGAATATAAGTAACAAAAAGAATTGCTCATTTATTTTCGACAAAAAATAATGTATGTTCCTTGCTATTTTTTTTATCTTGGATTGTACGAGGGGCACTATTTATACATCGGGAATTGACAAACATACTGTTGCCCGATGCAAACCATTGTCATATTCGCAAAGCTTGTACTTTTTTAGCATAAACACCACCCAAACGATCTGTCATACGCGCGCTATTTGTATTGTTTACATTGACTGGTAAATTGCGTCTAAAAAAATGGAATTAACTCGTGAAAATTTTCGTGCAATGATTTACTACGACTTTCGACGTGGATTATCTCAACAACAGTGCATCGATCAACTCAATTCGACTTTTGGTGATCAAGCCCCATCTAAGACCACTGTATATTGCTGGTTTAGTGAATTCAATCGTGGTCGTCGTTCGCTCAAAGACGAGTTCCGCGTAGGTCGTCCAAAATCATTTGTTGTACCAGAAAACATCGATGCTGTCGGAAAACTGATAATGGAAGACCGTCATGTGACATACCATGAGATTGAGGCATCTCTGGGAATAAGTGCGACCAGCGTATTTAGGATTTTACATGAACATTTAGCTGTGAAAAAAATTTGCTCACGTTGGATACCACATAATTTGACAATCGCTCAAAAAAAAGGCTCGTGTCGATTGGTGTAAACAAATGCTCAAGAAATTCAATCGTGGTGCTTCAAAATCCGTATATTATATCGTCACAGGTGACGAATCGTGGATATATGCAAATGAGCTCGAAACTAAAAAGCAGTCAACAGTATGGGTCTTCCAAAGTGAAGATAACCCGACGAAAGTTGTTCGAGCTCGAAGTGTTGCGAAACAAATGGTTGCCTGCAGAGCATATACTAAGCATAGATATATATCCTGGATATTTTGTCAGTATCCGATATTCATTGGAGCCAGACTTTGAAATAGAGTAAAAACAATAGAAGTTATTGTTATAGTGGTTGTAGTAATGTAAATGGTTTTATACTTAGACCTATAACAATCACTTCTATTGTTTTCACTCCATTATAATGTCTGGCTGCGATAAATATCGGATACTCACAAAATATCCCGGATATATATCTATGCTCAGTATATGCTCTGGTTGCCTGTTTTTTCGCGATAAGTGGAGATGTAGCAAAAGTTCCACTAGAGGATCGTAGAACAGTCAATTTTGATTGGTATACCACCATTTGTTTGCCGGAAGTGTTTGGTGAAATAAGAAAAAACAACCGCCGTCGCAGAATGATTCTTCATCACGATAATGCAAGCTCTCACACATCGGCTCAAACAACTCAATATTTGACCGCTCATCGAATAAATGAGTCATCCGCCGTACAGTCCTGATTTGGCACCCAACGATTTCTTTTTGTTCCTAAGCGTGAAGAATAAACTGCGTGGTCAACGATTTTCAACGTCCGAAGAAGCAGTTGATGCGTTCAAAACACACGTTTTGGAGATACCACTTTCGGAGTGGCATGAATGCTACGACAAATGGTTCGAGCGAATGCAAAAGTGTATCGATCATCATGGCGAATATTTTGAAAAACAATAAAGCCATTTTCGATAATAAATGTTTGTCTATGTTTGTTATTCCCGATATATAAATAGTACCCTACGTAATTGTAATCTAATCGAATTTTGCCCAAGAAAGTAAATCAAACTCACTGGTATACTTTGTGCTGTTAGAATTGTTGCACGATTTTATTGTTTGACAGATCCAACGCGACTGATACATTCACTTGTGCTAATGCTACTGTGAACATGCAATTGATTGCATGCTATGCCATCGTGTTGTTGAGATGCCGTCGGTGCTCACGCGTCTCTATGTTTGACGGTGTATTGGTGTTGGACGCTGTTTGACGCTTTATGTTGCCTACGTGACGATCGAATGATAGCGAAAGGGGAGAGAACGAGATGTACAATACATACAGACACCGGCAACGACTTTTTTGTGTAAATGAGCATCACAATACACAGAACGGAATTTTTTTGCACAGTTTCCAAATAAAAAGTATTGGAATCCAAATCGCCTATTTTATGGCCACACCACCAAACAAACCTGGACAACGTCATCTTTATAATATCAGTTTAAAAAATAACAAAGTCAATTGATCGATTGCCGTCCGCAAAAAACAACGAATCATATTGAGAATTTTTTATTGTCCGTCCGTGTCCGTTGACACGTCTATTCACTTTTAACTTCTGTTTTTGTAAATTTCTTTGGAAGTGTAATTCAAAGTGTGTGTATTTAATTATTAATTAATAATTTATACATGACACTCTTCAAAATATCGTCGGGGCATTTTAAATCCGGCGTTACTTGAAATGGCGTATCTAAGCTTTTCGCGCAGAGTACTTTTCTTTTGATAATTTGGCAATATCAGTAAGTTAAGGTATGTTAAAGAACGAATATCTTTCTTTCGAATTGTGAAAAAGCTACAAATCACCGAACCCAGTGTATCACGGTCATCATCAGTATAATCGTCACAACTAATCGAAAATGGCGGTTCTAAAGATCCAACACCAAATAATGGCGGCTTTGAGCGGCCTGTTACAAACTGATACATTACGAAAAATGAGGAAAATATAGAGGAATAAGTTATAAATAATTAGTTTCAATGTGAATTTCACATGTGTCAATACCTTGAGAAATAATATTTGTTCATCTTCAGTAAAGTCTTCAGATAGAATATCCCAAAGCCAGCGAACAACTCGATGCGAATCATGAAATCTACCGGAATATTGTGTATACTTTCGAAAATATTTTACATCAAATAGTGCCGTTTCCGCGCCCGATATTAGAAGTTGTAACTGTAAATTTATTGTAAAACGTATTTTATTACGAACATTATTTGTTTATTTAATGGCACATACTTCTGGAGTTGAAAACAATGATAACCAATCTGAATTGACAATGGACTTAAAGCCTCTGATAAATGCTGTTGTTTGCTCTTTAGTGATATTTTGTATTCTAAAAAACGCCGCATAATCGATATAAGTGTTTCTATAATAAAATACACATGTTTCGATTAATTGAATAAATTCCATTTTTTTTACAATGCACAATTTTTATACTTATTATCATTTGTCACCCGTTGAGCTCTTCTACCAGGATATAGTCTATGTCTAACAATTCTCCCATTTTGATCCACATCCACCGAAAACGTGAGATCCAAATCAGACACATCACCCTGCACAAAAAAAATTATCAGATTAATGATGGAAAATCGGCTTTTTACAGATAGCGAAGGTAGGTTACCTCATAATCTTTAATAATACTTAGTCTATCATATAGGTTACTGTTACTTGGTAGTTCATCTCTATATTTACTACTGTATATGGCTTGTTGTTGGAGAAGTTGTGATAAGAAAAACATAGCAAACGGTACATTAACGACAATTCCTTCGTAAACGGCTTTGCCCAGCATGCGTCCAATGAAATCAAATAAGAGTAAATGATTATCTAGCAAATATGACGTTGGCGATGGATACAGTCGATGATCACTTGTTGTTTTGAATAGATTTTGTGATGGATCAAATACTCTTTTAATTGTTTCTTCTAGAAATTCTTTAAAAACACCATCCTGATCGATACTAGCCTCATCAAGACCTTGCTGATTAATGAATTTAACACGAATCACACCTTTCAATTGAGCCGGTGTTAAGACTGCCAATTGTCGATAACCATCATCAACGATTCGATCACGATGTATTTCAATCGATACTGACTCCGTTAAACCGAGTACCGCTTTTTCATTTTCCACATATTTTCGAAATAATTTAACACGCTCGTCGTATGGTATAATGTGTGGCATTTTTGATAAAAGCACTTTTGCTGACATTTCACCTGAATAGAAGAGACACAAATGAAAGGAGGATGGGCCTTCGTGAGTCAGTCACTTTTAAATTGGTAGCACTTCACATATAAACAAATGGATATGATAATGTCAGTGGTACCAACATAAAAACGAGAAAGTCCCATTCTCCTTTTAAAAATGTTATTGATCCATCGTTACTTTTACATACCTTTTTCCAAATCGGCAAGAAAATTCGATAGACGAATATCAGAAATAATCCAATGATTTTTTGGCGCAAATTGACGACGACAATCACGCTGATACAAACACAATAATAATGAATGCATTGACACAAATAGCGGATTTGAATTGATTATATTTAAATCTGAAATGATGAAAATAGATAAACAATCGCCATTCGTTTTTAACAGGAATTGCTCCTCTGAGGAGGAGGAACGGTGATAATGGAAAATGAGGAGGAGGAGGGCGCTGAGGTGGATTCTTCTTCATAAGTGGGGAGGAAAAGCTAGTTTCATCACAAAACTATCTTTTTTGCTTAAAAATATTTTTCTCCTTAACGTTCCTCCTCCTCAGAGGAACAATCCCTGGTTTTCAACGTAATAATAGAAAAAAAAACGTTAATACCGAATATATTTTCCTGAATTGCTTTATACAAAAAGTTGTTCAGAAAACTTGATAAAACGATATAATGATTCAGTTTCAACGGTGTTTGCTTCTCATACATTTGAATATCGTCCAAAACTCTAAAAAGAAACAATAATAACATTTAAGAAAACGAATCCAATGCATTCATCCAGACACACTTACGTCACATAATGCGTCATTAAATCACAAAACAGTAATAACATCAAGAGTTGAGGTGGTAAAATATTCGGTGAGACAGACAATAGTTCTGAAAATGCTTCTAAACCACAATTAACACCAAGCGATGCAATCGATATGAAAAAATCGTGTAACAGTGTGTTGTCGTAACAGAGACCGGACAGAATATCTAATTTTATTTGTGTTAGTGTTTTCAATGCCTCATGGTACATGGCACAAACGATGGCCACTCTTGATATTTCAGGTGATCCAAGTTTACGCCACGATTGTGTTCGTCCCAGAGCCCGGTTTAACAAATTTCCAGGTCCTTGTTGCGGTAATGTGTATTCTATTTTTTCATAGCCTTTTGATAACTCTTTTAAATTGTCACCTAAATTAAAACAAATATTGCACTGTGAAAAATCTACTACTTAATTTATAAACTTAAAATGTCAATATGTATGAATTGCAATTTAATTTGAAAACTCTTACCCAAAATAATTTTGACTGTTTGATTTTCCTAGGGTAGAAGCACAGAAGAAATTAATGTGGACAATTAAAAAATGGATTCATATACCCATAAAAACATTCACTTACCCATAACAAATACAGTTGTTTTTTTATTGAAACTTTTTCATTGTGTTCCGAACTAAATGGAGTCAATCCCAATATTTCCAATAATTCGTGATATTCACTTCCACCTGGGAGTGAATCACAAAATAAAAAATGGAAATTAAGCAATAAGTAATAGTGAGCTAATTGAACAAAGAACTACGTGCACCAATGTGCACTCGGTGGAACAAAAATGTGCCATTGATTGCACATTGGTGCACGTAGTCGGTGCGCGTAGTTGTTTGTTTCGCTACTCTGATTTTTACCTTGTTTGGGACCCTTCACTAAATCTGAAATAGTTTGCAATAGTTTCATACAGACAGGCTGAAATTGAAAAAAAAATTCAATCACTATTAATTCAATATTTTTTTCTTCTCTTTACCATAAACGCAGACAAGCCGAATTTTTTTGCTTCATCAATGGGTTCCAAATGGAATAAATGGACAATATTTGCCAATAAAGCTAAACATTCTGTTGCTTTCATATCTTCTGTTATGCTTTTCATATGTTGTTCCATTGACAGTAAATCAAGACTTCGCTCCAGAATTGAATCTGTGTGAAATTTTTCCAAAGAATGGCTTATATTTGCTTCAATATGATAAATTAGGGCGGGCGTTGATAAGATGTTCATCAAAAATGTCATCAATAAATGTTCGGTAACATTTCCGGTTGTTAATGGTCGAATTGACAATTCTAAAATGGCTTGAAATAAGATCGGCTTCATTGTGATATTTTTTCCACAAGTCCTTTTTAAAAGTATTTTCTGTAAACATTGTAAAGTGATTTTCAAAAGATTGTTTGTTTTTTGCATATTAGTTATTCTAACCCGTAATGTTTGAAATAATCCCTTTTTTACTAGTGTATCGAGCATATTCCTGCATTTTTGTTTGATTATTGGTTCTAAATCTATTATTAAACTATTTACCTAGGGGTAATCATATAAAATATATTGGAAATTAATCAATAAATAATGGAAGTAATGATGACAATCAAATATATATATAGCTTAAGAGCAAAACTTTTTACTTTCAATAGATCCCAATTTATTGGCGTTGTAAATGCAACCAATGTCCTTAAATATAATGTCAAAGTCAAACTCTCCGAAGGTGTATCTAAAAAAAAAGCAAAAATGAATAAAATAAGTAAAATATTCGAGTGTTATCTGTGTTTCCATCGTTATTTACCTGGACTTAGATTTTCCATGTGGAGACAACATTTGGATAGCAATAATTCTATGTGCCGTGTCCATGCCATGTCGAGATTTTTATTTAGAACAAGACCAATGTAACAAAGCTTTGGATCTTCCGATTCAAGCGATTTCAACAAATAGAAACAAATACGTTGCAAGCGTTCACTATACGCGTCTGAGTTTTCACGAAATATTCTCAAAAAGCGACTAACTGCATGATACACTTCGGCGTTTGCTTTCAACACAATTTCTTCCTGTTTTTTATTTGGTGGTATAATATCGTCTATCGCATCCCTGTAATAATAAATGTGCATAAGAATTTTTATGAAATTCAGATATGCATCCAAGATAGACCACTATCACTTACAGTACTTTACGTTCTTTTTCGTGCGCAGCTTCTGTCTTATTTCTTGTATTGAACATGTTTATGGTTAATATCGCTATCGAATCACACGGTTAAAATCACACAGCTATAAATTCATTAGTTTCAAGCTTACTTCTCTAATATAATTGAATATTTTTATCGATTTTTTCCGACTCAATAGAATTCGTATACAAATATGTATGCAGTTCAAATGAATGCTTTGGCGCTCAATTTAATTTTTATTTTCGTTCAAATTTTTTTCACTAGAAAAAAAAGAGAGAGAGAGAGAGCAAAAGTCACTTTGACTGTGTGTATTTGTTATTTGACATATGATTATATTATGCAGTGTGTGAAAGTGTTTCTTTTTCATAGTTGTCAGCTAATATGCTTTATACACTCGCTGAGAGCTTGACAGTTCACAATCAGTAGTGTGATGTATGTGTGCATGCATTGGTTTTGTGGTGCGTTTACAGTACTAAATTGAATACGGAGGGAAAAACGATGAATCAAATTCGAATGATTTTAAGGCTGTAGAAATAACTTCAACTACTTTTTAACGGTTCTTAATGTATTCGATTTATTTCGGCGTATAAGAGCAAAATTCCTACCGGAAGAAATTTACAATTGCTTGTTAAATGTTCGTTAAAATTAAATGTATTCGAGTAAAACCCGAAGCAAAACAATTTACAAGAAAAGTTTGTAATATCAAAGTGGTTTGACATTGGAAATTTCTTGAAATCTGTCCAGTGCATATGAGTAGCCTTTATTTAAGAGAAAAAAATATTTGGAAACATGTTCATTAGTAGTTTGAAAATAGTCAATATTACCTAAAAACGTTGCAGCATTTGTTGGTAATGATCGAACTAAAATAATCCAGCTCCCACGGAAAAAAATTTTCCAACCGTATTTCTGAAACGTAAATCGTAGAAGCAGATAATTATTTTTATAAAATCTTATATAAGCATTATCGTAAGCCAAAAGTTATAATCGACTCACATTTGTTTTTGCTTTGAATATTTGCACCATATCACCATGTTTAGTTATATCAGTTTCGGCTTGTACGACAGTTTTTATCACATCAAAAGGGATCACCAGAATCCATGACAAAAAGCCTGGAAATACATACATTTTATTTATTTATTTTTGATACAACATTTTATTCAAAAAATTAGGATCTAAAAATGTCACATAATAAATTTGACAACGGGGAAATTAAACTGCAAAAGAGTAAAAAAATTGAAATATTCACAAAGCCATACCAGCAAATGCTCCTGATAAAATTGGTATTGAAATATCGAGATAAGTTAGTGTTTTATCATATTTTTGTAATTCCTTAAAGCGTTCTCTTTTCTCCAAAACCCATTCTGAGTTGGATAGTGTTCTTGAAACATATTCATAAGCCAACATATAAATTCCGTATGGAAAAACATCTCTGGAATAAAATCGAATTAGGGGTTTTGGAAGGAGAGAATTGAAAAAAAAAAACAAAAACATTTTGTTATTACCGGCAAATCATTGGCGTCCATCCACGATAGAAGCCAATTAAACCTTCATTGCGATAGACTGTTTTGATGCAATTAATTGGACCTTGTCGTTCATACCGCCGCCAATAGTTGTGATCTAACTATGTCGTTTGATGTTTTATAACACGACGTAAATATAAAACGGTGTGAGACTATTTTTAATTATTTTCAATTCGTCGTTAAACGATGGAAAACTCACGATTTTGTGTTTGTAATCGAATTTTTATTAATTCAATGGGACATGCGAAAAATGCATGAATCAGACCTGCTGTTGACCCGGCTAAAAATACATTCTGTGCCCATTCAATTTTACGTTCAGCATCTGATGTGCAGATATTCTGCAAACGACGAAGTTCATTGCCATAGACACCGAATAAAATTGAATTCAGTATACCACTAGACATCATGGGGAAGGCCATTCCACGAAAAAATCCATTTAACTTTTAGAGAGAAGGAAAGAAAAATCTATCTAATTACAAACTTTTTGTCATTTTTTTAAAAATAGTTTTTCTCTTAACTCCATTGTTGCGTATCACTATGTCATAAATTGATTTCCTAATCCGACGATTTCCAAATTGCTGCCAAGTTTTTATCGTATCAAATGGATGTCCGATCAATGTTCCACAGGCACCTTTTACACACATACATATATTTTCAAATTATTTCCGTATTTTTATAGAATTATCAATAAAAACATACCACCAATACAACCAGCCATAAAATCACAATAAACAATCACCATTGTTTTAAAAACTTTTTTATTAACTCACACAAATAAAATAAGATAATTTTTAAAATCCTCACTATTTCCGCGAATTAAATCAAGAGAATAAAAATGGTATATGCAAACGGCGCCCGGATGCATGGCACATGATGTGTCGTCAACAATTTAATGTCAATTTTACTGAGAAACGTAAATTCAAATTCGATTCACTCACATTTGGTTTGGTCACGATTTTTGGCAATTTTCCCACAATTTTCATACGAGCCGACCATGATAATGATAATATGTTTTCGTAGCAGAATGATTTGTGATCAAAATTTGGGATTTGGTCAATGTCGGAATATGATGGCGTTTTATTTTCAACCAAAAGTATGTTTTAGCGTAGATGGCGCTGATTTAAATGGACATTTGTATGTATAGACGGTGGCGCCGCCCTACTCAATTAAACACTGAACTACAGCGTTTCCAATCGTTGGATTTGGTCATCGCTGTTACAGTATTCAGTCCGCGAGGATTTTTTTTTCAAATTAAATCTAAAAAGTGGAATTTTTTTGCAAATATTGAATTATAGAATAAAAAGTATAAAAAAATAATTTCAAAATTATATTAATATTTTATTTTTAAATTTCAAAATCCTAAATGTTGACATTTCGAACTAATGCTAAGATACTGTTTAACGTCTTCATTTCGTGTAACACGTATACAGATATAATCAGCTGGATCCACATAAAATAACAAATTCTTATTTGGTCGAATGCACTTTAAAATGCCAACAATATCTAAAATAAGTATATCCGAGAACTTCAATAGACACCAATGTGTATGGATAATCTTCAGCTGCTGCGCAGATCTTAAAAATTCAAGTAAAGTCTTCTCAGTGATTGATACAGATCTAAGCGAGAATTCTTCAAGCTCTGGTAACGATTTAACCATATTAACCAATGATCGTTCATAGTCTTTTTCGTCATCTTCTTCGGCCAGTGGACGTGTTGCATGAAAATCAATTTTACGTAATCTTGTGAATGTACTCAGACAATCGAAAAAACCACTTAAATGCTCATAATTCAGTGTCATCAAATTAATTTCGGTCAATTGTAAGGCTGCAATGTGTTGAAAATCCCATGGTCCCAAACTTACATCGATGGAATCCATTGTTAATTTTTCTAACATTGGTAGATGTTTACCAATCGCACCTAACTTAACATCACTCTCAAATACATCGAATTCTATCGTTTTCAATCGTGGATTTTGTTCCAAAAAATCCACAAATGTTATCGTATTGAGAAATTCATTCGACAATACCGAGAGATGTTGTAGTTGTCGCCATGGCTTACAACATTTTTCCAATCGCATATTCAATTTCAATTTCAATTCCGTTAAATTTGGGCATATTTCTTCGAAATCGATATCATCATAGCAATCGTGAAGCGAATCATATATTTCTAATGATTCTAAATTTCGTAGGATTGGTGCAAGTGTCGATATTTGTTTTCCCATACAGATGAGACTGTTTAAAAATTGAGCTCGTCGCAAGTTTGGCCCAACGAACTGAGCCAACACCTCTACAAATCGCATCATTGACTGAACATCGTTATAAATATTACATGTGTACTTTAAGTCTGTAATATGAGCTCCAATGCAACGTAAAGTTCGTCTCATTTTTGCCAATGGCATTTGAATATTGTGACCATCATTTTCCACCGAAAAATATCGAACTCGCGGAAAACAATGTTTATGCAAAAGTTGTGCAAAAAGCTTACAAACTTCGGATAAATGGACCTGCGAATCAAGATCCAAAAATCTGAACAAATACAATAGACAGTCTTCATTCAAATTGAATATTTCAGATGTTTGTACAGATTCATCGATGGGTTCAGTTGATACATCTTGAGGTTGGTTCCAGGTGTCGGCTGGACGGATGCGAAATGGTCGTTGTCTTCTGATTTGAATGTCATAGTCCTGTTGCAACTGCGCCAAATATGCATTTCGATCGCAAACAAACGTAACATCAGCCTCGATAGACGATAACATATCTATAGATTCAATGTCTCCAAACTTTCGGAGTCGCCGACGAATTTCATCCGGTGTAAATTGTGACAATTCCTATAAATATTTTAAATATTTCAATTTTGATTTAATGACACTAACTAGAGCAACAGTTTATGTGTTTTTAATTCTGATTACCAAAACTTGCCAAGGTCCTGTATTTAATGTGATGTGAAGCTTTCGTACGACAACATATCGACTTTTGTCATATTGATCCTCTTCATCAACATATCTCCAATTGATGTCATCGCAAATGAATGGCATTTTGTTTAAACTTTGAAATACTCTATAAACTAAAAAAAATTCGTTCGCCAACGTTCAAAGTGAATACACACAATATATATGTCAAAATGAAATGCCAATGCAAAGTTGTCAGTGAGATTCAAAAAAAAAAATATCCAGAGTGCGCTGACGTAAGTTTTAATGTTTAGACAAATAATAATTTGACATCCCAAACAATTGAAAATAAATTGAAATCACTTGAATGTGTCCGAAATGACAATAAACGTTTTATTTTCTCTCTCTCTCTCTCTCTCTCTCTCTCTGTATTTCTCGAATTTTTATTGCCATATATTTTTCATACACGTTGAACGTCTTTGAAGAATAAAGAGTGGTTTTTATTTGTTAGTTAGGTATCCAACCGATGGCATGGGAAATGAGAAATTAAGTTGCCTTCGATGACAATTGAATAAAAAATAAAAAAAGCAAATCAGAATTTAAATTTAGAAAACTCTCAATCATTGGATAGCCTTTGAAAATTACAGTACAAATGAACCAAATCAAAAACATTTTTTTTGTATGCATTTTTCATTTAATTTGATGCGATATACTTGAAATTGATTAAATCAATTTCGTCATGTTCCTTATTCAATAATGAATGCAAATGATGATACATTCGATTGATACATTCCAATTTTAAATTGATGAATAATTCCTATAAAACAACAAATTATTTGAGATATAATGTTTTATTTGTTATCATACTTTGAAGGAAAAAAAAGAGATTTTGTTTTCAAACGTCTACGTAGGTTGCTCCATAATTTTTTTTAAAATGGTACTTATAGTGTTGCCCGATGTAAGCCATTGTCATATTCGTAAAGTTTGATGTTTTGGTATGTATTCGTGCCCTGAACCTTTTGTCGTACGAACGCTATTTGTATTGTTTACAGTGACTGGTAAACTGCGACTCAACAAAAAAATGAATTTTACACGTGAAGATTTTCGTAAAATGATTTACTACGATTTTCGAAGTAAATTATCTCAACAACAGTGTTTCGATCGACTTCATTTGGCCTTTGGCAATGAAGCACCAACCCTTCAGACAATTTATAACTGGTACCGAGAATTCCGTTGCGGTCGTAGTTCGCTCAAAGACGAGTTTCATACAGGTCGTCCAAAATCGGCTGTTGTGCCACAAAACATCGATGCTGTCAGAAAACTGATTATGGAAGATCGTCATGTGACCTACCGTGAGATTGAGGCATCTTTGGGCATTTCATCCCACAGCATACATACAATTTTGCATGAACATTTAGCCGTAAAAAAGATTTGCTCTCGTTGGATCCCACATAAATTGACCGATGAACAAAAAATGGCTCGTGTGAGTTGGTGTAAAGAAATGCTCAAGAAATTCAATCGTGGTGCTTCAAAAGACGTTAATAAAATCGTCACTGGTGACGAATCGTGGATATATGCCTATGAGCCCGAAACGAAACAGCAGTCGACTGTATGGGTCTTCCAAAATGAAGATAACCCAACGAAAGTTGTTCGAGCAAGAAGCACTTCGAAGCGAATGGTCGCCTGTTTTTTCGGGAGAAGTGGTCATGTGGCAACCGTTCCACTAGAGGATCGTAAGACCGTCAATTCTGATTGGTATACCACCATTTGTTTGCCCGAAGTGTTTGGTGAAATAAGAAAAAACAACCACCGTCGCAAAATAATTCTTCATCACGATAATGCGAGCTCTCACACATCTTTTCAAACTACTCGATTTTTGACCGGTCAAAACATCGAACTGATGGGTCATCCACCGTACAGTCCTGACCTGGCACCCAATGACTTTTTTTTGTTCCCAAGCGTGAAGAAAAAACTACGTGGTCAACGATTTTCGACACCAGAAGAAGCAGTTGAAGCGTTCAAAACACACGTTTTGGAGATATCAGTTTCGGAGTGGCACGAATGCTATGACAAATGGTTTCATCGAATGCAAAAGTATATCGATCATCTCGGGGAATATTTTGAAAAACAATAAAACCATTTTCGACAAAAAACAACTGTGTTATATATGTTTTTAAAAAAAATTATGGAGCAACCCTCGTATAAAAAAATGATAAAGAAAAAAGCGAATAGATTTTGATTGAATATTTGTTGCAAGATTTTATCTAATGAACCAATTCGAATAGATTTTTCACATTTAATAAAAAAGAAAACAGCATCACTGTTTCAAAATGTAAGATGAATAATAAATGAATAAATTTCAATTGTATTGTTCACTTCATCGATGCGTGTATTTTATTCAACTTTGAGTTTTATTATGGAAAAATTGTCGTGTTTGTTGTATTTGAATTGGATTTTAATTGTGTTTAAATTCGCCTAAGCATATCATTTGATTGATGTGGCGAATTGCCAGTTCTGTTCGACATTTATCGGTCCCAATACCTTACTACCATTCTTTGTGCAAACGGCCACTTTGTATTGATGATAACTACGGCAATCGCGATCATGCATTTATTGAGCTGCAACAAACAAAACCATTATTATTACCGTGATAAATTCAATGCATGAAAGAACAACAAATTGTAATTCAACAAACCAGTGCTTGAGCTGCATCATAGTCCAAAACAGCATTTGAATTTTCCGAATATTCTCGCAGCAATGGGATTATGAAATGTTTACCATAACCAGTGGCAACCACTTTGTCTTCATAAGCACGTCCATGATCATCAACAATTCCCCAAAAACGGTTCACCATCTTGAACACCACCAACAACCAAATCAATCCATAATGGATTCATGCGACACCGACGATTAATGATTATGCATGCATCGTGTCAACCAATTGTAGAACGATTTCGATTTCATTTCAATTTCGGATTGAGAAGAACATTTACATCGCCAAACGACAAGTCACAAGTTCCCAATTGACACGGATTCGAATGAAAGACCATTGAATACCTTGCACATCCAGTTTGAATGCCTTGACATCTCAAACCGATTTCATAGCCAGGTCCAGCCGGATCGAGTCCGATAACCGCATTTACTTGTCGTCCATTCGATTTTATGTGCTGAGCAATGTAAGAAAAAATAGTTTTTCCAAAATTTATTTCAACGAAAAAATATATATTTGAAATGTCTCTAACATTTGTGCTCCAATGCTGTGCCCAATAAGCTGAAGTTCTTCAATCACAACACAGCAAAATATCACAGTCAGAATATGAGCAAAAAAATCGGCAGTTCTCCCCACTAAACACAATGTTATTTGGATATATCCGTAGCAAGACAATCCACTTGACCCCCAATCAACCGCAATTATAGTTGAGTTTGATAAGTTTGCGAATTGCTGCATTTCATCAGGTGTCCAGTCAAAAACTGCATGAAAGTTAAAATTTTAAGAATATCTCTCTTCAATCAAGATAAAATTAAATAGATTACGTGTCTCAATAGGATTGCTTCCGTTACAGTTATCGCCATAGCCTGCCCAAATGGTTTTTACGGAATTTCCACTTAATTTTAATGCGTCGCAGCTATTCAAAACATCCGTTGAGCTTATATTCCACGGTCCATTTCCAGATTTCGATATTGACTCGTAATTTGTGGTATTGAGTGGATTTGGTCCAAATGAGTGAGTGACGTAGCTCTACGGCTTGTTGAAATGGCATGAACGCGAAAAAATTTTCAATTGCCGAACACACCTCATCATTTAAATCATCATTGCGACAAATCATCAAATTGTGGGCTGCCTGAAAGAAAATAATTTCACTTTTCTATTACACCAAAGAGGAAAAATTCTTTCTTTATCCAACCATATGGAATTTGCATCCGTACACTTTGCACCAAAATAAGGACAATCAAACATTTTTTCACACAACCGAACATACCTACTGTTAACATTTGAATGCCTGATGAATTTTTATGCATACAAGCTGCCACTTCATGATCTTATCATCATTTTTGCAAATCAACAACTTGAATGTCCAGATCATTGTACGATATGTGAATACGTTTAAAACAAACAGCAGCTGTAGTTAATTACTATTTAAAATATTTTGATGAGTAAATACACGTAGAATTGGTCTTTGGTGCTTTGATTTCGCCGGGAAAACTTCATATTAATATTATAAACCCATGTGACAATTATTTGGAGAATCGACGTATACTTTCTACAATTTTGCATTCAAAATAAACAGAAAAAAAAAAACAGAAAGATGTCATCAAACTACTAATAAAATGATATATATCAATATAAAAATATAAACAAAGCGTGTGAAGATAACTATATTTGTTCCCCAGATTTGTTGATAAGAAAATTGCGAACGAGGTAAAAAAGAGTGCATAAAACAAGTTTTAGTGCGTATTTACACCTTACATTCTTAAATTCTACACTATATAATTTCAAACAGCAAATATCGGTGAACCACGGTCACAGAGGCATAGACCTCATTTTCAGCATGACAACATTTCTGTGAAGACACAGACAAATTTGCTAATAGACCCTGAAAAGAATCAGCGATTGACATTATACATATTGCCGTATTATTATGCGGGAAATATTAACTGCTGGCGATGCCTATAAAGATAATAGCGAAATTCTTTGGGAAATCATCACAAGCCCTATTACTATAATCATTGTATGTTTCATACACAAAAAGGACCAAATAAACTTCTTACAATTTTATTTTGTTTTATCACGTGTGCATTCAACGAATTCGAATGTAAATAAAGGACACATCTGGTTTTCATTGTAACAGTGTTTTATTGATCGAATTTCAAATTGAATATTTTATCTGAAAATAAATTCCTGGTTTTCGTGTAAAATCATTTTTTGATGTCAATTTTTTGTGTACAATTGTCTGAATAAATCGGTACTTATATAGGTAAATATTGACGTTATTTACAATTCACTCACGTCACGATATTTAAATTTCTTTTGAAGTGTTTCATTTTCATCCGATTCAATATTGTACAGTCCGTGTTTCATTGGTTCATAAATGCTTACCTGGTGATCGTGAATATCTTTCTGATTGTTTTTGCTCACGTAGATTGCGTTCAATGGAGTTCCGTCAGCCAATGCTTCGAAGAGTGTTTTCGTTGCATAGATATGGTTACACATCGAACTATTGCACGGACATCCATGCTGACAAAACGATTTCTTTTGATTACAAAAAACATTAACATCTCCCAGGTCATCATTTGCAGTGCCCAATCCACCTGTCATAAGAATAAACTTGAAAATTCAAAAAAATAAATGATTTTCAAAATTAAACTAACCGGGATTTGTTATAAAAACCATGGTTTGATTTGCGTGTTGTTGTTTTACAATTCCATGACACTTTCCACCTTTGGATTTTTCGGCAAATAATGGTGCGGCTGGGTCTAATGCGATCAATTTGTCCAATTTCGAACCGGATTTACTTAAACTTTGCGCTGTCAACCCGATGAAATGTGCGCCCAAAGAGTGACCAATGAGCCACGTATTTGAATTCAAAGTGGTCTTTTATCACTTTTGACATCCAATCGATTATGGTTTTCATGTGACAAAATAATAGTAACGGATAGCCACAACATGATAGTGTTGATGAACCCCAATCAATTGCAATTACCTGAGCATTTGCTCGTTTCACCAGTTTTTCGGCATTTTTCACTGTCCAAAAATAATCTAATTGATGGAAATAAAATGAATTAATCATTCATTTTTACGTTGAACATGTTTATTGAGAACACCTTCTTCAAAGATATTTACAGCTGAGCAGTTATTCAACCAACCGGGCCAAATCCATATAGTTTTTTTCACTAAATGTGCACCAGGCTTAAGGGCTTTACATCCATTTAACAAGTCATTGCCATCAATATATTCGGGCTTATCGTTGTCCCTATGGAATGTTGTTGCAAATTTTGGTCAAATTCAGTCTATTTTCCGAGAAAAAATCGTTTAATGAAAAACCTTCCAATAAGTGGATTCATACGCTGAAAATTCTTTGCTTTATACTATCATTTTATGTCGAAAATTTAAACTAGACAAACGTCTATTGGAAATGTTTCCATACCATTGTAAAAATCCAATTTTCGAAAGTTTTGCTTATTGACTGTTTCAGCACTTACGGTTTGAAAAGAATAAACTTGAAAGATTTGGCAATTGTTTTATCATTGGTTGGATTAAAATTACACTTGTTCATGGTGCCAAGCACCGTTTTTACAAAATTAGTAGGTATTTCACCTAACAATTTTCCCGTTTTTTCGGCATATTTACCAAGTGCAGTGCTTGTACTTAAATGCGATAACATCCTGTATTCATTGCACGATTTTTCATCTTCTTTGGGTGTGTTGCACCATTGAGATTCTCCTAATTGACAATATATAAAATTTATGTTGCAATTATATAGGTGAAAGACGTCGTTATTATAAAACCAAACCTGAGCGAATGCAAAGTCCCAAAAATATAGCAAAAATTAAGACGCTTATAAACGTTGTCATTTTTTTCGAGTTGATTACGTTCGTGAATAATCACTTATTGAATGAACTGTGAATATTTAAGCTACCTATGAAAACACAGTAACATATGTCATTTTATTTGCTTTTTTCATTCGTTCGAATAATAATGATAATGTCATCTAAAGTTCATAACAGATCATATCCAAAAGTGTCAGTCTGAATGTGCCTCTGGTTGTTGTTGTACGAACATCTGGATATTTTTGCAGTCAAAAACCTTTGAAAAATTATCGTTGCCTTTAAAAATATCAAATTAAACACGAGTGAAACACGAAAGATTGTTTTATTTTTTATTAAAAAAAGTTTTTCGATCTTTCACACACATAATTTCAAATAAAAACTAATCTCAGTTTCTTTTTTATCGAAAATTATCAACTTAAGTAAGGTTTTAAAACCGATGAAAGAAAGCTATTTAAGTTTGAAGAGTGAATGGAAAGCATTTGCCTGTTGGCATACTATAACAGCCTTCTTTTCCGTCAGTGTACAGACCATATTGACTCTGACTTCCCGAACCATTGCAGTCTATACCAATGAATTTATTTTCTTTAAAACAAGATGCATAAAACAATTCAGTGGCTCTGGAATGATTGCAACCGTCGAAAAAGCAGCCTGGTTGCTTAGCACTGTCCCGGTTTGCATAAAAGTCTGAGTGGCCAAGCCTCCTAGACGTACCCAAAATTTTCGATGTGTGTAATGCCTGTACGAATTGGGCGCATGTTGAATTTAATCCCTGATTTACCTCATATACTGGTCCTGCAGCATCAAGGGCAAAAATGCGCGCCAATTTCTGCCCAGTCATTTGTGTTAGGAAAGTTCCAGTCGCTCCTGCAATGTGTCCTCCCAGTGAATGGCCAATAATTGTCGTGTTATTCAGATTCATTTCCCATCGGTTAATGCACTTGGCCAAGTGCTCAGCAAGATCGAATGCTACCCGTTTTGCCATGTAAATGTAGTTGCAATTGGATATCGCCGAATAATCCATTAAGATCACATTGGCATCTTGATCGGTAACAATTTTTTTAGCTATTGCTTCCATCCACTCTGAAATCACAAAAAAATATAGCACAATTTCATTTTAATATTATTTTTTCCACAAAAAATCTCTTTCTCACCATCAGGTTCAACGCCATCAGCAAACCCATGTAAAATTATGTAATTTGTATAATTTGGATTAATGAGCTGGCCCATATCGAGTTCAGATACTTCGCTGTATGTTGTTTGACCACTTGTGATGTAATAATACCGTACAAATAAGCCAACTTTTGAAATTAAACTTTGATCTTCATCTGGATCATAATCGCATCGGAATAGACCTCCCCAAAGCTGAGCAAAAAAATGCTTTTTCGGACTCGATGAAAACGGCGATTGACATTTGTTACCGAAAAATAAAAAACCTATATGGAAATTGTTTGAATTAAAAAGTCCTTCTGATAGATCGTTTAAAGTATTTTACTCACCAGACGCTGCATGAGCCAATAGTAACAGAGCAAAAATTCGCATGATTGTTTTTTTCTCTTCGACTTCACAGTTTCTAATTTCAAGTCACGGGTTTTAGATAACAGTAACGACTGTTACAATTCGAATTCGGATGCTATTTTTATCTTTAAAAAAAAATTGATATCTTGAAAATCCATGAACATTTTATCTAATCATTCAGCTCATGAGGATAAACAAATCGGCAAGAATTCAGTAGTATTTTATCAGTCATTCAACATGACTATTGCCCTTGACAGTGGAAATAAGGAAAACAACGAATTTATATGATGTTGGGAGCATTTATATCATCGCATGTTATGAACAAATAGATAAAAAAAATATAGTTTGAAACTATAACAACGTTTTTTGACATCTGTCGAAAAGTAAATTTCCTGTTGCTATTAATTATCTCTTGCCAAAATAAATTTAAAAGATTTTATTATAAGTCAGCTATATTTGGCAAATTGAATTCAGGACCTTCGAAGTTCATTCACAGTTGTTTATAAGTGAATTTTGATCCAAGTCGGTTAGATATATTAGTTTTATTTAAATAAAAAAAATTTGATCGCTTACTTGACATACTTACCGATAGTTTGAGTTTTATATGTCGCATCATTGCTCAATTTATTCCCATTTTTTATTTGCTTCACATTAAAAACTACCATATCTACCATTGTGTCGTACACTACATCTATCTAATATGATTCTAGTTGTTAATGAAAAAAGGTCAATTATTTTGTGGATTTTTTTTATTCCATACCATTCTTCAAACTAGAATGTTTGACTAAATTCGGAGAATTCGGTGAAAAAAAATCTAGAACGGAAATGCACTGAACTCAATATATTTTTGTTACTAAACGCAATAATTTCGGCTTATCTTTGTCGTTTTCGAGTTGTTTGCATTATCACTTGTTCACACAAAGTGAAAAATGTTTTTTCAAGATAAAAAATAATAAACACACAATTTCATTTGAAGATGTTTATAGACGTTTATTATAAAGCATGCTTTGCACGAACAATTTTACATTCATTTTGTCCGCCACAAATTTGAATATAATTTTTAATCGGATAATTTTTAATAAGAATTGTGTATACCGTCAATTTTGACCAGCATAGAAGTAAAAAAAAAACACATATATCTCTTATCAAATAAATAAAAAAATAAATTAATTATCTTTATTGTAAGAAAAGTACTACACTTATCTAATTTCATCTATCTCGATGAGTACGTGTACGGAGCGCACGGGGCCGTATCAAAGCAGAACGATCCACTTTCACAATCGGTTGTTGTATGAGCGCCAAATCGGCAGGTGGCACTGGGATTAGAATGTTTGCCACAAGCAACTCCAATGAACTTATTGTTTGGATCAAGTGCGGCTTTGTAATATTCGACCACAGCTATATGCGAACAGCCAGTAGCTTGAATAAGGCAGTGAGGCTGAGTGCCAGTTTGATTGTTTGGAAAGAAATCGATATGACCCATGGCTTGTCGCGAACCAATAGCCATATCGGTGTGTATTGCCTGAACATATTGACAACAAGTTTTATTTAATCCACGTGATGGTCCATCATAGTCAACCGTATAATATAAACCAGCTGGATCTAATCCTTTAAAGAAATAGAACCAATTTGAGAAAGATGGTAAACTTTGTAAAAAAAAAACATAATTTAAAATATAAAAACACATACCAAAGCACCGTTCAAATTGTCCCGACGATGCAGCACCGGCATATCCACAAATATGTCCACCGAGTGAATGGCCGACACAGTTTACGGTTCGTAAATCCAGTTTCAAGACATCATTCAGGATGCGATACAATAGATTGCCAACTTCGGGAACTAAAGATTCGGTTGCTTGTCGATATGGGCAACGTGATAGATCACCCCAATCAAGTGCCAGTGTATTACGATTTAGAATGCGCGACTCCATACGTGACAATTGATTATTCCAAGCTACCAATTATGGACAAATGTTACTCAAATTTGGGTCATCGATATTAAATTTCAAATAAAACTCACAATTTTTGCGTGGATGAAAACTGTCCGAGAACCCGTGCACAAAGACCGTTGTTGGTCGAGTATGATCGATTAAATGAGCATTGGAACCGTTTGCAAAGAGCCGATGGAAACTATTTGTATCTCTGTCAACAACAAAAGCAAATCCAATAATTTAATATGACACAAATTAAATAAGAGAAACACGCATTGTGCGGCGTACGTACGTACGATAAATATAAAGCTTCACAAATTTTGCCACTGATGGACACGGATCATCACATGCACATTCACTTTGATCGACACCAAGGAAGGCCTGAATGGGAATGGTTTGAATTTAAAAGTCCTTCTGATAGGTCGGTTAAAGTATTTTTCTCACCAGCATAAATTCAATAAAACTCGAATTAAAGGTCACTGTTTCTCGTTCACATTCGGTGTCTTGGCGTGAAACTACATACTTTTTGTGTGGAAACAAAAAGATGCCTACATACATTTAAGAAGCACCAGAATAATACAAAAAAATGGTTTTTAAAAATCCGACTGAATTTTTTTTTCTCTTGTGATTTTTCTCACTCACCCGCCGCCAATCGAAATGTTTGTAATAAAACCACAAATATTGTCCACTTAATTAACTTCATTGTTTTGCAATCTAGAACACGCCAAATAAACGAAAATTAATTCTTTCTCCGCAAATGTAATCACGACAACGTCTTTCAACCAACTAAACTTTAAATGTTGATTTGCATCGTGTTTTCTTTATATCGCGCACTCATAACAGTTCGATGGCTCTAGAGCTGGCCAAAAATAGAACACTGCCGACAATGGAATATCATGTTGTTCGACAAGTTTCGGATAAAACAAAAGTTTACTATTTTCGAGACAATATTCGTGCGCTTCATGATCGTTAATGCTGCAAAACATTTACAACTTGCCATACATGGTTTTATTGCCCACAAGTTCAAGGTGTGTTTTTAGTTGTTTTGGATTCTCGTCGCCGATACGTCCAAAAGAAAGTGTTCCATTTTATAGGTTTCATTGTTGTGCGCGCTCTGCATTTGGTCATTAACGGTTCAACCACGTTCTCTTCGCCACACATCACTTCTGTACGAATGGTCAACAACAAGAATCGCCAAATCTAACGGTCATTTGCAAATGCAATTTACGACAGTTTTTATATTCAATTGAACAAGAACCATCTGGAAAATAGATTTGTTTTCCATTCCAAAGTGAAAAACAGTTAAAACTGGTTTCGATGATGGAACTTTTTCTTGTCATTTTTGTTTGGGTAATTTATTTCAAGATTAACTAAAAACCAAAATTGCGCACTTGTCGAATGAATAATTTTGAAAAGTCATTGTTTGGCAAAAAATAGTGTTTCAACCGGGTTTTTGAGTTCATTTTTGGGTTCAATTAAAATTTTATTGCTATTTTTGGTTTGTGTTAGAGTTGCACAAATTTCCGGTTTATACACTTTTTTATGGTGTTGAAAAATTTCTCGCATTATCTATATGCCTGAAGACAAATTCGATTTTTAATTAAAAATAAAATTTTATTTTTTTTCATATTCATTCAATTGTACTTTTAATGTCTATAAAGTGAATAAAATGTTTAAATAGTGGATGCTAAATCGAAATTTGCTGGCCTAAAATTATTTACGGTTAATACTCAATATTTTTATAGCTCTGTATTCAAGCATGGGCTTTTATGGAATATTTTGAGCACAAAGTGAACTGCAACCAAAAAAAAACTTGGGGAATTTTTTACTTAGAGATTTTAGAAACCACCGGCACTCTAGTGAGTGTGCATTCGGTCAGAAAGAACCGGTTTTTTTTTATCGTTATTGCCAAAACAAAAATTGTGATCATGAAAAAAGATTGCATTTTGTGCTGAGTTGTGCATTGGGTGAACGACACTGCAAATCTTCATAAAGTATTAACCGTTTTTACCTGATTGATCACGATACAAATTATTCTGCGACTTTATGTACCTTAAATAGTCAAGGCCATGTGAAAAACAAAGCACTTTGGGACATTTTAACCCATATTAATTTTGAGCTAAGTGATAACAAATACATATATTGTTTAAAAAAATAAAACCATAAACACGAACAGATTAGACATAAATGAGCACGTCAGCTTCGTTGTCTTTCTTTTCATTGTATTCCGTTTCTAAAGCCAAAGTTCTTGAAAATAATTTATAACTTTTGTAAGGCGGTGAAAACTTCTCAAATTTTCCATTCGTTTTTATTATCAGACGGTATTGTTTATCAGATTGTCTGTGCAAAACTTGACAAATATGCTAGTTGAAAAAGTACATTGCCCCAGTTTGATTCAAAATATGATATGAATGTTATGAGATCATTTTGTGTTGCATGACGTAGATCATTTGAAATAAATACAACAAGGAAACTTTTTCGAAACAAGCCAGAGACTAAAACATTTAAAGTGTAATTTTACCGTTTTTGTGAGAAGGCTATTTATTATTAAACAACAAAAAAATGAAAGAATGAAGTAATTATTCAAACACAAAGTTCCAACGGATTAGTCGAAAGACTTTACTTTTTTTCGCAAGAAAAAAAACAGGTCGATAGAAAGTTAATTTTTTTATTTTTTTATAATTAAAAAAATATATATTTTTAAAGCCTTATAAAAATATAAAAATTTCTCAAAATAAAAACAATTTTTTCAAGTTCTGTATAGCCTTTCAACGGCTTTCTTTTATTCAGTTTATAAATTTGCATAGAAGACATAAATTGTTTGACAAAACTTACGTTGAAACTGTCAACCAGTAAATTGTCAACGAAAAGCATGTACATTGTTGATTTGACATTGTCTGTCAAATCATGTGTTGAAAGAGCACATTTACACGCATATTATTTGGATTGTTTATAGTAACATTTTGATTGAAAAACGTTGCAAAAATCACGCAAACATGGGAAAAAAGGATAAAAATAAGAAGAAAGGAAAGGGAGCCGAAAAGACTGCCATGAAAACGGACAAAAAATTGGCAGCCAAACAAAAAAAACTGCTCGAAAAAATCGGAGAGGTTAGGATTGAATGTGCGGCTATTTGAAAATGATTTAAACTCATTGAATATTTTCCGCTATTTTTCTAGGACGATATTGTGAATATAGTTGCAACTCTTGAGGCAAATGAACAAAGGCGAACAACTGTATCAGAAACTGTAGTGTCACCACCCACACCACGAAGTAATTTCTCATTTTGTGCGCACCCCGAAAAAGAAGAGCTCATACTTTTTGGCGGCGAACATTACGATGGACAAAAATTATCCGTTTACAATGAATTATATTTCTACAATATTCCGAAAAATGAATGGAAATTAGTGATGGCCCCGGCAGGTAAATGTATCAAAATATTGATAGAGAACTTTTTTATAAGATGCATTTAAAATAAAAAGCTAATTTTTCGCTTGAAAATCACAGGACCCGGTCCACGATCAGCTCACCAAATGGTCTCAGTTGCTTCGGACGGTGGACAATTATGGGTATTTTACCTCATTTCTGTTTATTTTCACTTTGAACAATGTCTAAATAATTTTCAACGTGTTTCAGTTATTTGGCGGTGAACATTCGACACCATCTCAAATGCAATTCTATCACTATCGTGATTTATGGGTCTTTCGAATTGCCTCACGTAAATGGGAAAAAGTTGTAACACAAAACAGCCCATCACCTCGCAGTGGTCATCGAATGATCGCACACAAAAAGAAACTATTTGTATTTGGTGGTTTTTATGATACCGGAATTTCATACAAATATTATAATGATGTTTGGATTTTCTCAATGGAATCGTATCAATGGCAATGCATCAATGCAAAAGGTTCAATTGTTCCGGCTCCTCGTAGTGCTGGTTGTATGGCTGCAACGCAAGACGGGAAGATTTTGGTTTGGGGTGGTTACAGTAAAACGTCTGTGAAAAAAGAGGTTGAACGAGGAGTCACACATTCCGACATGTATGCATTGGCACCAGAGAGTAAGTTTCATCTAATGAAATTCTTCATAATTTTGTTTGTTTTATTATTTTCTTTTATGATTTACGTCTCAATCAGAAAATGATGCATCCGGATTACTATGGAAATGGTCAAGTGTAAAACCTGGAGGCTATCGCCCGGCACCAAGAAGTGGTGTAAGTGTTGCTGTCGCTGCAAATGGTAAAGGTTTCGATTATTTGTCGATTACTTTAAATTAATTCTATTCTTTTGTGATTCTCCCCTTAGGTAAAGGTTACATTTTCGGCGGTGTTCTTGATGTTAATGAAGATGAAGAAAATCTCGATGGACAGTTTAGTAATGAAATGCATTTGCTGGATCTTTCCAATCCAACTTGGCGTTTGATTGAGTTAAAAGGAAAAAAAGATAAATCAACCAAATCGAAAGATAAAAAAGAAGAAGAAGGAATGGATACAGATGCAAAAGCCACAACTCAAGGTTATATGAGGGTGTTTGGTTCTTTTTTATAAAAATTCGTTCATAATCCAACCTGATCCAACCAAATTCATTTTCAATTTTAACTCCCATCGACTTCATTTCTAATTTATTATATAATCTCGGTATTTTACAGTCTCGTCGGATGGTGTATTTACAATAACCGTTGGCGGTAGCTCATCATCATCACAAAAAGTAAAATCAGCATCGAAATTAGAAGGCCACAATGCACCGTCACCACGAATGAAGCCCGGCATGGCTATATGCAAAGGGACCTTATATCTGTATGGAGGAGAATATGAGAACGGATCGAAACAATACACACTCAATGATTTCTATTCACTTGGTAATTTTACCATTTTTTTTTTTCAATTTTGGTGAAATGATGGTTTCATTGATGAATTTTTGAATTTTTACGTCTTTCAATTTTCTTGTTCAAATAGATTTACACAAGCTTGATGAATGGAAGACAATAATCAAACAAGATTTGGCTGCATGTGAGTGGATGGAATCGGAGAGTGAGGAAAGCGGTTCAGAAAGTGACAGTGACGACGACGACGACGATGATGATGAGTCCGATGACGAATCTGATGATACCAGTGGAATGGATACTGATTAAATATTTACAATTCAATGTGAAAAATAAAACCTAAAAATACCGTTTCAAAAAAAAAATTTTTTATTCATTTTACTGTTTATTTGTACATCAAAAACCGTTAAAAATCATCCTTTAAAATTATGTATCTAAAAAAACTTTGCTCGGAAGAAAATAATTATTGCCTTAAGGCCAATTATAGTATATGCGATTCAGCAGCACTAAATTAGGGGGGGGGGCCAACGACATTGACCTCTTAAGGCCTCGGAAAAAAATATGAAATCTGGGTGGAATTTAAATTAAACTTATGAATTCAAACTGCACAATTAGTTTCGATCATCTTATACGTAATGTTTGTGGTAATTATAATTTGAATCGATCATTGTCGATTTCGACATATGTGATAACAAAAACAATTTCGGACACTTTTATTAATAATAACTACGAGGCATAATATAGTGACTTATGACATTCAAGCGATTTGATTTATCATTGAAGATAATAATTTTCTCTTTCTCCCATTCAGTATGCCACTTTCCAGATAAAAAAGAGGAATTTGTGAACTTAATGTTCAAATTGATAGAATTGTGACGGCGTTCAAGAACTTTCAAAATTTCATCGAAATCTTTTTCATTGAATTGAATTCGTAGGCCATTTCCACATACTATTATTATATCGACCAGTTTATCTGCATAGCTCAACATGGACTTAATCATATCAATTGGATATTTTATTTTTGGATCTAGTATATAAAGCGTCAATTTTTTGAGTTCCTTCTGACTTTTTGCCAATGAAATCAAATGATTTGCTCTAAAAGGTGCCCAAACTTCAGCCCAAATGGTTGTGATATTTTTCAGTTGACATACATATCCGATGTCACGACCATCCGTAAATAAATTCTCTAATTTAATTTTGACATTTTTATTAAGAGATTTTGAATTCAACACATCATCTTCGACAGTTCTGCCCCCTTGCAAAGTCAATTTTCGAAGATTCAACATATTTAAACCAATGAATCGAACATGGTCAAAACTAAAACAATTAATCCTTTCTAATTGAGTATTATGCCTCAAAAATCTGTCCAGTTGAGGATATATGAAATTTGGTAACTTAAATTTAACGAGCTTGGGAAATGTAATTTCTGGCAAGATCAATTGGAAATCCCATCCGCAATCAATTATCATTGTCTCCAACATACAACAAGCCGCAATGAAATCGGTTAACAAGTCAACTTTGATTACTTTGTGATGTAAATGGATTTTCAAATATTTCAACATCGGAAGAACTGAATGGATTTCCATCCAATTAATTTTGTTTTCGTTACATCCGATGAAAATACTAAGAGATCGAAGATTTTTGCAATAATTATTGATCATTTTTAAAGCCAAATTTTCTGCATTCGGCGTATTTCCAAAATGTAAATCATTAAAATTTAGATGAGCGGCTTGTACCGATGCACCAAACATGGTTAAAAAAAGCTCAAGCCGTAACAGTGTGTCATCACCATTCACATTCAATTCACTTAAAGCGAATGTTTTTTGATTAATTTTTAACGAGAATATTTCCACACCAATTGCATTAAATCTTTTGCACACATTCGCAACAGTACAAAAATCCACTAAGCTGTGTATGTTTCGGAATATTTGGCGTAGACAATCATCGTTCAAATCATTTAATATATTTTTTGATGAATCCTTAATAATCGTTACCAGATTATTAGTTTGAGCGGTAAAAATATGTCCATGGTGAGTACAGCAACCGGTGATTTGATCATGAAATTTATCAGCCGGCAATATTCTAAACCTGATATGATCGATCTCAATTTGGGAGATTTTCAACACTTTGGCAGCATCTTTGGCGTCTTTGTACTGAATAAATAAACAGTCAACGCATGCTGTGCGAATTGTATGAACTGAGCCAAAACGTTTAAAACATTTATAAGCTGATTGCATATAGCTCTGAAATGAAATGATTGAGACGTGTTATAGAGAAAAATAAATTATTCCAATGAATTTCCAACAACTTACCCGTTTTTCATGCAAAGATTCAAATCTGATAACATGAATTGTCCTGTCTGTTTTTTCACCTTTAAAGAATGCCTTCCATCGTTGCATATTGAATAGTTTTAGTTACCACAAATGTTTAATGAATTTGAAAATAATGCAAAGTATTTTTTTATCTATTTTTTTTTCTTCACAAACATCAATGAGAGTCTGCAAAAACACTGAAAAAGTAAATATTTTGTTGAACTAACTTTTTGAATTTATTTTTGTTCGAACTTGAAGAGAAAAGAACTTCTTTAAATTCAGTTTAAAGTATGAGTTGGGCTATGGTGTTGCTCTGACAGAAAACACAAGAAGACTGATGTAAACCCATACCCATTTGCTATGAAAGATTGTACCCCATTTCATGAAGTTTCCAAGAATGTCATCAGATCCAACTTGTACCTGAAGATGTGTTTACGTGTGTTTATATTATATACCTTATAGCTGCGGATGACTCTTTTGTTTTCTTTTTTTAAAGAAAATGTTTTTAGAAATGGGCACAGTAAAAGATAATCTTTTTCGTAAAGGTCACATTAAGTAATTAAGTGATTTTAACAATATATTGTTATTATTTACATTGTAATTGTGAATATTGTGAAAAATAAAACCAACATAGAACCTTTTCGAGAAATTTTCGATTTATTTTGCTGTGTTTAAACATTCAAACATTCGAACATATTTGTACATCAAAAAACGTTAAAACTGTCATAAAAAATCATCTTTTAAAATCATGTATCTAAAAAAAACTTTGCTCTTATTGTATTTGTAAGGCCTCGTGAAAAAAAAATACAAATTCTGGACGGAATTTCACTTATAAACTAAACTTATTAGTTCAATCTGCTCAATAAGTTTCGATCAATAATATACTAATACTAATAATGTTTGTGGTAATTGTCATTTGAATCGATCATTATCGATTTGTTGGAGATATGTGCGAAAAAATATCTATTTTTGTTTTACTGGACGGTGTTTCGAATTATACAGATACTTTACATCCGTAACAATGAGATTCATGAGCAATTTGATCATGTTTTGACCTAATGAAAATGGCTCCTTTATAGATGTGTAAATGTAAAAGCGACAAGTAATGGAATAATGATCGCCAGACTTATCGAGAATTTTTGAGCCATGGCTCCGGCATCGCAGTCAGTTATACGCTTTGCACGCATAAAATCACCACCCAAATACAAATCGTATCGTCTCTTGTCATTCGGAACGGGACGCAATTGTTGTGTGGCATCTTGGAAAATCAGATCATGATATGGTGGCGGTGAAAAGAACATGCTAAAACTGAATGCATCAGCATCTTTACGACCATAATATTGTTGAGCATAGGTAAAAAGATTCATGTATGCATTGATTTGAGTTTCATTGTATCCATCCGCACCACGTGTCACCACTGCGTTTGCTTTAACTTTGCCCAAATTGCACGTCTTGTAATCAGGCAAATCGCGTCGGGTACCTGTTTTTGTGGAAGAGATGAAAATTTAAAGAATATAATTATAATTAGCGGAAGGAAAAATGTGTTGAATATCAAACGCACCGTCTGGACAAAGAAGTTCAAAGTCATCGTTCAAAGTATTTCGAGCCCACCATTCTCTTCGTTTTCCACCGGTGTTTTCCATAACTGTTGTATGCTTAACGAAAGCCACATCACCCCCTCCTTCGACCAGGCAACGGAACGCACCCGTATGACCATAATAATCTTCGGAAGCATCACGTCTACAGTATCTGTAATTTCCAATCGAAAAATTTGTTTTTCATTTTAAAAAAACCTTATGAAAAATTCTCTAATAATATTTACCTATACGAAGTTCCGTGACACAAATCACACAGATTATCATATGGTACACCGATGTTATATTCTGGACTTATTGCGCCTGGTATACAAGATTTGGTGAAATATTCGGACGCAGCACGTATACTATCGCAACCGTATGGTCGAATCCAGCCATTTGAAATCAAATACGCCATTGGATACACCCATCCGGCAGCTGTATTCATGCCAGCATGACAAGTATACTTTCCACGAAGATATGTTAATTCGGTACTAGGATCTTCTTCTTTTGCAATGGCCACGACATAATACTCTGGTTCGCCCAAATTATATACTTCGGATATGATTGGAATCAAGTCATAGCGTAAACCAGCTGTGTACACATCACTTGCATCTAAAACGGCAACATCGGCAACACCCGTACGAATCGATTGCATGCAATTGATGTGTGAGTGCCCCTTAAAGCAACTCATTTCTGGCTTGATCAATTGCGCTTTCAAAGCCGTTCGCATTTTAATGCATTTATCCATTTCGGCATCTGATGTGACGCACAAAGTCATACGACCAACAGGACATTGACGAACTTCCAAAATTTGTTGCAATGCACTACCCAAATATCCGCCAAAGCTTTGATCGTCTTCTCTAATCGGCACCAGATTTCGTGCTGCATCTTGGAACAAAAGGTTCAATCGTCCGCCATAACTTTCAGATGCAAAAATATCGAATTTTTCATACGTTTGCGTTGTATTACTATCAAATCGTGAACTTTCGGTCTCAAAACTACTATCTAAATTGCTTCGATAGCCATTATTATTATTGTTATTGTTGTTGTTATTATTATTTTTATTGTTGTCATATGAGTTAGTGTATGGATTCCATGAGTTTGATTGGCTATTTTGATCTTGCAAATATTTTTGATCATAATACTTGTCATCGTTGTTTGTATCGAATCGATTGAAACCTTCATATCGGCGATCGTTTGTTGTTACATTTTGTACCGGTTTTGTCGAGTACAATTGTACAGCTCGTGTTAAAAATTGTTGGTAGTGCTTTCGTTCCTGCGATGATCGAGCCGATGATGTAACAATTGCATGTGATGGCACCAAACCCCAGTTACATTGACGATATTCGGACAATGGGCGTCGTAAACCATCTTTACACAACAATTCAAGACTGTCTGCACTCACCGAACCTAAAAACAATTTTTTTTTTTAAATAAAATACACTTGTTTCCGTTTTATAAAATGTTATAAAAACTTACGAAATTGTTTGCTATTGATCATTTCACTAACGGTGGTATGTTTCAAAAAAGCAACGTCACCAGCTTCTAACAAACACCTGAATGCACCTTCAAAACCAGCATATGGATCACGATGCGTACATTTACCGCCAGGCACTTTTCCAATGCACAAAGCACACAATCTAAATGAATACCAAATAATGTTTTATCAAATGTGTTGATTATTTTCTTCTTCGTTGACTTACCTGTCGGAATTATCGCCAATCGGATTATATCTATCGACTAGCGAGTTTGGTGCACATGATTCGCCGAAAAAGTTTATTGCATTCTTCACATGATTATTACAATCGATCACTTCCATACCGCCCTCATATTGTAACTTTAGAACCAAACAGAAAATATTAGATAAACGGAATTTTAATTATTATAAATTCTATATGGAACTACTTGTTTGTCATTTTTACAAAGTGAAAAAATCTTTGCGGATTCCAGTTGAATTTTTCAATATTCGAAAACTAGTCGTAAACTCACCGTATGAATTGGAATGGTCCAACCGGCTTGACTGCCAACTTCAGCAAAACATGCACGTTTACCGTGTAAATCACGAATCGATGTCACGTCATGTAGTGTGTCTTTTTTAACAACAGCAACCGAATAGTAATTCACAAAACCACCATCAAAACTTTCCTGCATGATTGGAATTAATGAGTGATAACGACCGGCCATAAATACATTTCCAGCATCCAATGACATCAAATGTGCCCTCTCTGTATCGATCAATTGGATACATTCTTCCGTTGAAAATGCTTGATGACACGTTGTATTGATATAATTATCGTCGAACAATGCACGATCTCGTTCGAGTGCTGCCGTAAAATTTTGACACTTGAATTGTTCGGGCTCATTAGTCGTACACCACACTAATTTTTCTAATTTCGTTCGTTCCACTTCATAGTATTGACCTGTGTTGAAAATTTAACCAATGAATATATATATATTTCTCAACATTTTTGTTCTTTTTTTTAGTAAATAAAGTATGATTTAGTAAGCGCGATGAAGATGTGAACATTTAGGAAGCGATGAAGATAAATATTCGAACAACTCGCTCAATGACTCATTCTCCAGTCAATGGATATGTCATTCAGACAATTTGTATTCTCATCTTCCAATTATTTTTGAATATCAATAAACAGTAAACACACAGAAATCGAAACAAAGAGGAAACCACAGCATGTACGCTATTTTTGTAAAACAACAAGTTTCACACCAATACATTCACATTCACACAAAATTCTGATGGACTTCATAAACAAGTGTAATATAAAGTGCATAAATGTCGTAACAATGATTATACATATATGCACGCGCACACACACATACATATATAAACATGTAGAAAACAATGTCTAATGAAAGTCCATTAAAATTGATGAAATATAATAAATTTATGAATTATTTAGTTGTTCAAACAGATTCTGACTGAAATTCAAACAGTTTCTATCGCTTTTCGTCACAAGTATGTAGTTTTATTTTTGTTTATTTGTGATAATTGTAATCAACTGAATTTGGGCGTTGACATCAAACATTCAATATACAAACAAAACATTTCACATATTTTGATTTATATCTGTTTTAATACTAACCGATGCAAAATGGTAAAATTATAAAAATACAAACAGCCACAAGGGCTCTGACATTTTCACGCAACATTTTCAATGTGATGATTAAACAAAAACATTTGAATTATAAACACAAAAATACAATTTCGAAGGCACAAAACGCAAGTTCCAATCGCAGTGAATACGAGTTTATGTCACACCCTTACTATGAATGAATCGACAACGCTATACAGTCATCGTAAAATTGACATTTTGATACACTGTTAAATTAACAGTGTTAATACCAATGTATACGACATTATTTTACATGATGTTGAACGTTTTTTGTTTGATAGTAAATATAAATTGAGTTTGAGAAAAAATTCAATAGTTCATCCTAAAGGCGAATAGAAGAAAGACTTGAAATAAGAAAGACTTGAAAATCTCGTAAACTATTTGAATTTTGATAAAAACTTGAAAGTTCATTGTGAACAATTCAGATATATTCAAATTAAATGCGTGTGAAGTTCACACTGTGAACCAGACCAAAAAAAAATCCAATTCACAAAGAACCGTGCTTAATTTGACAATGTCCAGCATTGACAGTAAACGCGACAGCTTCACGTGTACTGTGTTCATTCTATTTTCAGTATTGACGGCAAATTTACATTATTCAATTTGTGCAGTGAATAAAAGAAATATAAGAAAATGCCAACAATTAACATAAAACGAGATTTATTATTTGAGGCATTGGGTAAAATTTAGGGGCAATTCACTTAAAAATTACCTTTCTATTATTTAATAATTGTTATTGATTCTTTTTCGATTATTTTCGATTATTCGTCGATTATTTTAAATTAATTCTTTTCTTTTGTGATTCTCACCTTAGGTAAAACTTATACCGACGATGAGTTTCAAACTTTGTGCTTTGCTTTTGGCCTGGAATTGGACGAAGTGACGACGGAAAAGCAAATGCTGACGAAAGAACAAGGTGCAGTTGAAGCAACCGAATCAGCATCCGAAGAGATAATTTATCGTATTGATATTCCGGCAAATCGATATGATTTATTGTGTTTGGAAGGTCTTGTATCCGCTTTACTGGTGTTCCAAGGTACAAAACAGCCAGAACGTTATTTACGTGTCGATCCACCGGCTGGCAAGGCGGCAGAAAAATTAATCATTCTTGGCGATACGGCAAAAATTCGTCCATTTGCTGTGGCAGCAGTTTTGCGTGATGTCACTCTTAATAAGAATGCATACGATAGTTTCATTGAACTTCAAGATAAATTGCATCAAAACATATGCCGTAAAAGAAAACTGGTCGCAATGGGAACCCATGATTTGGATACCATCGAAGGTCCGTTTTATTATAACGCAAAACCACCGACCGATATAAAATTCATTCCGTTGAATCAAACAAAAGAGATGAATGGCGTTGAATTAATGGAATGCTATTCAACGCACGCACAATTGAAACATTATTTGCCAATCATTCGTGATTCACCAGTGTATCCGGTGATTTATGATTCAAAAGACCGAGTTTTATCATTACCACCAATTATCAATGGTGATCACTCGAAGATCTCAGTCAATACGAAAAATATTTTCATCGAATGTACGGCCACCGATTTGACAAAAGCAAAGGTAGTCTTGGACACATTAGTCTCAATTTTTTCGGTGTATTGCGCAAAACCCGGCCACGTTGAGTATTGTGAAGTTGTCAATTCAAATGGTGAAACAATTGTTTATCCAGAGCTTGAATATCGTATGGAAACGATTCTACCAGAAGCGACCAACAAATATATCGGTATTCAATTGACACCGGAAGAAATTGCCAATAATTTGACGAGAATGTGCTTGAAATCGACACTTAAGGCCGATGACAAATTGGAAGTGGAAATTCCACCAACACGTCATGATGTCATCCATGCATGCGATATATACGAAGATGTAAGTGTTGAAATACAGAATTACACAATATATATGGCCAAATGAATCATACTATCAAATGATAAACTTTAGAGAGACGGAAAAAAATTGGAAATTCCATGAACCTCTCTAAATCATATCGATTGATTGCGTTGTTTGCTATTATACAAATCATTTTAGTTGAATGTAAAACAACTTAACATTGATTTCATTTTCAGGTTGCCATTAGTTACGGATTCAATAATATCAACCGAACACTGCCATCATTCATGCACTTTGGACGTCAATATCCGTTGAATAAATTGACCGAACAATTGCGTGAACAAGTTGCTCAGGCCGGTTTTACCGAAGCGCTTACCTTTTCACTTTGTTCGCGCGAAGACATTTCAACGAAACTTGGCAAGAAAATTGAAGACATCCCAGCTGTACACATTTCCAATCCGAAAACGCTTGAATTCCAAGTGGCACGTACATGCCTATTGTCGGGTGTTCTAAAAACAGTTGCGGCCAATAAAAGAATGCCATTGCCATTGAAGATGTTTGAAATCTCAGATGTCGTTCTTGCTGATGAAACAACTGAAGGTACATTTCTTTTGTTTTTGTTTCACTTTCTTTCGGTATACTAATGGTGTTGATTTTTTGCATTTTTTCAACTTTTAAGTTGGAGCGAGAAATGAAAGACGACTTGTTGCTGTTAACTGCAACAAATCAGCCGGTTTTGAAGTTGTACACGGACTATTGGATCGGGTTATGCAGTTACTTGAGGTTCCATGGAAAGGTGAAAATGGATATGTTTTAGATGCTACAGAAGATCCAGCCTATTTCCCCGGAAGATGTGCCAATATCAAATACAAAGGTGTTAATATTGGAAAAATTGGCGTTCTTCATCCAAACGTTTTACAAGCATATGAACTGACCAATCCATGCAGTGTTTTCGAAATTAATATCGAACCATTCGTCTAACAATTGTTTTTAAACATTCATTAATTTATCCTAAATGAAAATGTCATATATTTTTGCTCTCAATGCTGAAAGTGCCGGCTATCTATTTTTCACACTCAAATTTAATAAAAATATTATTTTATTAGTAGTACGAAATGTGCCTCTTTTCATACATTTGACAATTTCGAATTAGACGCTTTCGAATTCGAACAATATGACATTTTGAATATCAACATAGTTTTTGACAGATACGTCAATTTGTCATCACTGCACGTTTTGTTTTATTTTGGAATATAATCCGACTAGAAAGAAATGCCTTTGATTATTTTAACGGGATTCCCATCAAGTGGGAAAACGAAACGATGCAAAGAGTTGGCCGACCATTTTCGGGAACGTGACAAAACGGTGCATGTTGTTAGTGAAAATTTGGCAATACCAAAAGCTGGTTTTAGAAAAAACGAATATTATGCCGATTCGCAAAAGGAGAAAGTCATTCGAGCTGATTTGAAATCAGAAACAGTACGGTTACTGACCAAAGATAATGTCGTCATTTTGGATGGAGCCAATTACATCAAAGGTAGCGATTAAGTCTTGTACTTTTTTTAGTAAAAATATAAGGAAACCAATTTAAAAAAAACCTTTCGTTTTAGGCTACCGCTATGAGCTTTATTGTGCCAGCAAAGCAGCCCGATCGACCCAATGTACTGTATTCTGTGCTATTCCACCAGAAACTGCATGGAATTTCAATCAACAACGTAACGCCGAAGACGTCATTCAGTCTAGCGAGAGTGATAACTCCACAGTTCCGTATACACGTGAGATATTTGATGCACTCATGCTTCGATACGAAGAACCAATAGCTAACAATCGATGGGACTCACCATTATTCACACTGTTGCCCGAATCACAAATACCATTCGAAGATATTTATGCCGCTTTATACGATCGTAAACCACCACCACCAAATCTTGCAACACAAAATGTAAGTGTGCCGTCGATTGTCATATCTGTGAAAAAAAATGACATAAACTCAACAAATTCTTTCGAATATTGCGTTGAAAATAGAGTCAAACTATAGAGAAATTACGCAGTCAAAGCCAAAGACAAAAGATTTTCTGAAAAATGTTGTTTTCAGTAAAAGAATGTAAAAATAAAGAGTCTTACGGGAGTAAGACGAACTTTTCCGCACGGTGGTATTTGCGTATTTTATTAAACAAGTTCAAAATAATACTTGTTCGATTTTTCAAGCCTTTCAAGCGGCGTAAAGTTCGAGATCAAAAAAACTCAACTTTGGCATCGAAATATTCTTTTATTTAATAACAGAAGTACTCGAGAAAAGATTTTTCACACTTTCATGATGAACCCATTTGTACGACATTTGAAAGTATTTCATTTTCTAACAAAACACTATAAAAAAATATGTCTGACGTTAATTTTGCCATAAAAATTATTTTTGAAACACTTTTCATAACTAACTATACTACCTTAATGGCGTGAAACTTTGTACAGGTTATTTTTTTCACAAAAAAATATCATTTGGAGGGTTTGGAGAAATTTCAACCAAAAATAAGAGTACCTCCCATACAAAATATTCGTTTTTGAGCCGAAAATTGAAAATTTTGTATGGGAGGTACCCCTAATTTTAATTGAAATCTCTTCAAATTTTCAGAATGTTATACTTTTGTGTAAAAAATAGTCTGTGAAAAGTTTCACGTCATTAAGGTAGCATACAGGCATGGCTCCCATACAAAAATCCAAATTTTTTGTGATTTTTTCAAGGAAACTGTATTAAAAATTGATTGTATCTCAAAACTAACGTCGGATTCGGTTTTCTCGTGCCAAAAAACCCCCCAATACATATTTTTG